TTTACGTACGCCAACAAGAGTACCAAAATCAACAATCCATCCGAGTTTAAGTTTTTTATATATTGAACGATTTACAATTCATAATATAAAATCTTAAATGTTCTATGATTTTATTACACGATTGCCGACACTGTATTGAAAGGTGACTTCATGAAACATCTCTAAAGTCATTTTTCAACTTGACAACTCTTAAAATAATATAACACAGAGAAAAAAACAGCCCTTGCTGAGTTCCTTGCCGGTTCTTCTCAGTACAAGGTCTCCCCCCGTAGATTTACGAAGCGATGGCGTAGCTTCTAGACATTCATGAGTGCTTGTAGCAGATTAAACTGAATTAATGATTTTGATTATGATTATGATTGAGAGATAATCTGATTTATGTTTTTCATTGTGTCACTAAGAGATAAAATAGTGTAACAAATATTTCAACGTTCACTATCAAATATGTAGATATAAGATGTAAATATGATAAATGTAAGTGATTTTGGTCGTTTTTTATCACAATTAATAAATAAAAAGTGTGAAGTTGGATACAATTCGACTTAAAAAAAAACCGGACAAGTAATAGTCGGTCTTGCGCACGAAGGGTTCCGAACGATTATTTATACAACATTAGGCACTATATTATAATATCGAGCAAAAAATTACGTCAATTATATGTAAGCCCCCCTTATATATTTATTTAATTTTAATTACTTGAAACTCAGGGAGTACATTGCTTCGTATATAAACTGCTTAAATCTTTTCTTGTAATCTACAAGCAACATTCCATTGTTTTTTCTAATTTTTGGACGCAGTAATTTCAGAGATAAGAGTACAAATTTTAACATTTTCCTTAATAATTTTTAAAACTATTCATTTTACATTTGTGAACCCTCACATTAAAGCTCTTTCATTGGGTGTAGATATACCACGCTACAATTAGCTAAATTTAAAATTTTCTAATTTACTACACAAAAATAACTCTTATATTCGGAATTTATTTACTTTTTTCTATGATAATAAGTAGCACCACCATAATATTTTATCATAGTAGGCCTTCCAGCTGTCAATGTGACATTTTCGTCTAAAACAACTTTCACTGCAAAATTTCTAAAGGTAATAATAGGCCTACAGGCGTACATCATAAATAATTCTAACACTCTGTTACTGTGGCTTAAGTTCTTTGCCTTGCAATTCGTGAAATTCTGTTAAGTATTTAATAAATTAAATCAATCAATTGTTTTATTGTTATTGTCATTAAGAACTGTTATATTATGTAAATAGGGTATTTGACAAGTTTTAGAAAACGATCTCACGTTATTGACTAATGTTTATGGAGTCCGTAAAAAGTGGATAATCGTCATTCTGTTGCGTATTTCAGTAAAAATAACCAAATCAAAAACTCCATTTTCAAGTTGCCGCGAAAACTTTTCTCTGGACAATATGGCGTCTTACTAGAGTGTGTGACGTCACACGACTGTTATTAAAACGTCAAACGATACAATGTAATTTCACTTTAACCGGAATCCCAAGCGTTTTGGGTCACGTGATAATAGATTAGAAAACTATTATCTTTTTCGTGGGTTTTTAGTAAAATTATGAATATCATTTTTGTAAAAATAGTAAAAACCCCTGCCAACATTAATTCTTAACACAGATGCTAACAATTGGCACTTTATTTTTAATACTGTTAAATACCTTTAGGTTAGGGAATAATTTTGCACGAATTGCTTTAATTATCAGTATGAAAGTACTATCATTTATATGATAGAATACAATAGGTATTTATTTATTGCGCTATCGTACACAAACATGACAATTTATACTACATTAAAAAGTTTATCTCTCAGAGAAATCAACTTACATAAATCACATTTAAGCGCACCTAGCGACATCTATTGTAAAAAAAATCATTTTCTTCGCAATTAAGCTGCCACCTGGACGTTCTAATTAGAGATTTATTATTATAATACGATAAAATAAAATATTACTATGTTTCGTCCAATACATATATTGAAAGTCAACACGCTTTCCAATTTTATTGTTTTCGTCTTACGAATTTTCGATTATCAGTCACGTGTCCGGACGCGATCAGGCCACGTGTCTTGACGCGAGTTCAACAGTTCTTACCCATTACGAAAAAAAAGTGTACAACGCCGCTAAATAAGTTTTCACTTCAAAAAATGCACAGTCGTCGAAATTCAAAATGTAAGAAACATGAAATCAATAAGATCGCTACATCGATCGCAAGAATAGAATAATAAATAAGAATAGAATAAATTAAAGAATAGAAGATCGCTGAGCATGAGGAAACATTTATGTTTTCGTATAATTCTTCAATCTTTATAATCAGCGACTTCTTGCAATATTGGTTACAATTTCAATTCCCCCTTTCCCCTTTCCTTCAGAGGACCACGCGCGCTGGCCTACTTTGCCACCGACTAACTGTGGCCAATATTCCGACGCGTACAAAGAAGTTTGGTTACTCATTTCTTTGTCGCACTATCCGTAAATGGAATGCTCTGCCCGCTCACGTGTTCCCTCCTTCTTACAACCTGGGATCCTTATAAAGAGGCGTGAAGAAGCAACATGCAGGCCGGCAGGGTGAGGATGGCTGGTGTGGCAGGTAGAACTGCTGTATCAGCTATCTTCGCATCTGGACTTCACCGTCACTTAACATCAGGGGGGGTGGAGTCCTTTGTTGAACCTATCTATAAAAAAAAAAGTTTCAAAACGGCCTTCATAGCGTGCCGCGACTATAACTAGTAAAGTTTTTCAGGTAACTGAAAATTCACGTTTAGAGCGAAAATTAATGCATAAAACTTTTTGTCTGGATGTGTGAATATAATAATAGATCACATTTCGCCTCTGTCTGTCTGTCATCACAGAAATTACACATTGGTTAAAGAATTTCGCGAGACGCTGAGATAATTTAGCGCGAAAATATTTCCGATTTTTCATCGATAATATACGACTTATTGTAGCAAAAGAAAGAAAAAAAAAACTACTTCGATGGATAAGTAGATATCGTGATGCGAGTGAAACTGTACTATTGTTGGGTGCGGAACGCTTCAATGACTTAGTAGTAGACCAATGACAATAGCGGCACACTTTTATGTGAAAAGTCTGTGAAAAGACATTTTGTGGTATTGCAATGAGCGAAAGTTGTTAATACTGTGTTCGTATGAAGAATGTTTGGTGCGATGCGATGAAGGTCAGACAGTGATAATTACTTTATATGAATTCACACTTTGTTCGACAATGTTTGTGTTCTTTGTTTTCATTAAGGTGTGACATGGTGTATGAGGAAAACAAATACTAATAGTTTGGTAGGTTTAAATCTAATCTCACTGCGGAGATAGATGACGTTATAGTTTACGCGTTTAGTTAACGATTTTAGGAGCTAAGCAACTTTGGCATTAACGCAGGCATCCGATAGGTGACACGCACGAGTTAACGCGCTAGCGAGCCACCACAGTGTTTTATTTTTTAATTTATTTAATACATTAAACAGTCTCACAATAGTTATGACTTTTAGATTATTGGACACACATTATTCATTCACACAGACATTATTCATTGTGACACCAACAACAACGTCCACAATTATCTTAGGGCGTTTGTTAAAGAGACGGGACTTTTTTGTCCTCAAAAATAGATCGCTTACAACTTCATCAAGTAACGCACACGACGGATTTGAAAGTACCGGGTACAAAAAGTCCCTAGAACAATGGAGGACATCGAGATACCGGAATGGGCAAAAGTACGCGGGTGTCACCGAAAAACACAGTACTCATGTTACTCTGCGTAGCAACGCACAAGTCCGCCGGGTCTAGTCGCAGTTTAAAGCGTGTCTACGTCAGCCCGCCTAGCATGAACGCGATATGATATATTAGTCTTTTTTATCACGCTCAATTGTCAAATTACTATGGAATTTGACAGTTAGACGCGATAAAAAACGTGATATAACGTAAATTGAGGTGCGCATGCTACGGGGACTGGTCGTCAGGTAGGTATGGGGCACTATGGAGGTTTGTTAAGGACACCGGCCACGGCGCGTTAGCGCTGGTTTGCGTTCGGTATAATCGTACAAACCGTGTCGGCCCATGTAGAAATGGGTACATATCGTCTATTTAATAAGCGCGCTTCAGTCTAAAATGAAAATTGTTTCACTGCAAGTGTGATACTAAGCTAATGATGATGATGACTATCTCACTCCCAACTATGAGGAGAGGAAGAGGAAAACCTCTAAAAGAAGGACTTAAAGATGTCACCCCAAAACAATAGTAACAAGTTGCCAAGCTAATCTGTCAACAAACACTACGAAAGCAAGTTTGATGAAAGAGTCTGGCTCTTATAAGTCGCGGCACGAAACTCTAGCGCTGAACGTTGTTGCGCAGAAGTAAAAATTAGGATGTCTTGGGGGGAAATGAGGTGCGCGGGTGGGCGTGCGTTGCACCGATTGTTCAGCGCTAAAGTTACGTGCCGCCTGTACTACATCTAGCTTTATTTCGATTCTCAGAGCAGCCTTTTCTTTTCACCATTGAATACGGATACGATCGATTAAGATTTGAGATATATATATATATATATATGTATATATATCTTATATATAAAATTATCGTGTCACAATGTTAGTTACCAATTACCATACTCCTCCGAAACGGCTTGACCGATTTTTATAGAATTTTATATGCATATACAGTAGGTCTGAGAATCGGCTACCATCGATTTTTCATACACCAAAGTGATAAGGTTTGTCCACTATTAACTTTGTTTTTATATTTTGGACAATTTTCTTTTATTTTATTTTTTTAATGTGGCATTAACAAATACATACAACCCTAAATTTTCACCCTTCTACCACCAGCCCCTATTTTTATAGCGGTACGAAGTTCGCTGGGTCAGCTAGTATATATGTGTATATATATATATTTAGTCACACCGCCCATTCGAGGTGAAATGTGAGTTGGTTCTGACAAAATAGCACTGCAGGGTAGGTTAGAGGCTTGATTTACCATATATTAAGTTCTTCAGATCCTGTAAGTTTTTGGCCCTGGTATCCTTCTTCTCACCGCACAGCAGCAGAGCCTGCTCCTCTAGTTCGGGATCTTCGTGGCGGTCTAACTCCGCCTTGTAAGCAATCTCTTTGAACCACTCGGAAATCATCTGGAAAGAAAGGAAAATTAATTTATTAGTCACCGATTTTTTCGCTAGAATTAATTTTCTGTTTCCATTTCTCATAGCCTGCACAGACGGGAACTTTTTTCCGCGAACTTTTTTGTTCACCAAAATAGATTTCAACTTCACCATGTAACGCACACGATGAATTATTAAAAGTGCCAACAACAATGAGGGTGTCCCCGACAACAATAGATTCTATTGTTTTCGGGGACACCCGCGTTCTTTTGTCCAGTCCGCTCTCTCGGTGTCCTCGGTTGTTCGCGGGATTTTTTGTACGCGGCACTTTTAATAATTTATCGTGTGCGTTACTTGGTGACTAGTCGCAGCAAAGCACACAGTTAACTTCAGTCCGCGTTGCGAGCTCGATCCGATTTAAAGGGCCAGACCTAGTCTCATATTTTTCTTAAACATAATCACACTAAGGGGGCGTCCATAAATTACGTGAGATGTTTAAGGGGGGGAGGGGGTCAAGTCAAATCTCATCTAATCTTACGTTGGAGAGAGGGGGGGTCTCGGCAAATATCACGCAATTTTTTTCTGATTGAAACAAAATTAATAGTATTTTCGTCCATTTAATCCAGATTGTACATGCTTAAGATTTAATGTTAAGCGTAATCGTAATACGATTAAGATCATTCACTAATTCGTTCGAAAGAAAATAATTTCATTCATACTTCGAAGTTATACATCTACTGACTGTCAAACCACTATATTTGTTGTATACCAAATAGCTCAATTTAATCTGAATAAAATAAAAGCACGAAACATTTTTTTTTCTTTTTACAATAATAATCCATGCGTTTACGTAAGAAACCCTCATTTTGAAAATTCTCACGTGAGATTGGGGGATGGGGGAGGGGGTTGAATAAAATCTCACGACATCTCACCAGGGGGGGATGGAGGGACAGAAAAATCAAAAATACACCTAATTTATGGACGCCCCCTAATATTATAAAGGCGAAAGTTTGTGAGTGTGTAACTAAACTTCTTCATGTCTAAACGGCTGGAGCAATTTTAATAAAATTTGGTGTGGAGTTAGCCTACGTTATACTGCCGAAAAAATATCCCTAATAAACCGCGGGTAATACCGCAGGGCACAGCTAGTTTTCATGAGTCGGTGGTCATATGGGACCGGGACCGCGGTCCCGAAATAACACAAAGTTATCTCATAACATTTTATTCCGTGCGTTTCGCTAGATTTCCGGGTAACAAAATTTAAATCTACACAGCGTGTGCGTTGAGTCCGTGTCCAGTCCTCGGCGGACATTTTTTTACGATTCAGTGACTTATTAAGTCCCTCGTCTGCGCAGGTTATTGTTAAATAAACAAAGAGAAAGCTTTTGCAATAGGTACGCAGTTACGGTGTTTTATACACATTGTTCGAAAGACATTGAAAGGCAAGTTAATCGATGAACAAAGACAATAGGTATAATCAATACAAGCCTGTCTTTCATCAGATTTGTTTCCACTAATGTGGCTCAGACTTTCTTTAGCACCTATCATTGTGCGGGCCCTGTGTTTATTAGTTGGTTTATACTTATCTGTTTCTTAGGTTTTCACGCACATCACTCATTAAATAAAACAAGTTTCAACGGTATAGATGCACTGATTTTATTTATTTGTTGACGTTTCGCTTCCCTGTTAGGATGCGTTGTCTGAATTATCCTTTTCAGGATGCTTTTCTGAATAAGTCAGACTGACAGACAGAATAATTCAGACGACGTTTGTTTTATTTAGATTTATACTTACCTAATGCAATGACCTATATTTATATATTATAAATGTGGAAGGGTGTTTGATTATCTGTCTGTTATCTCTTCACTGATAGATCGCTAAACTGATGAGAATGGAATTTGGCATATACATAAATAGTCTGAGTCCCGGGGAAGGACATTCGTAAAGCAGGTGAAATGGTGGGTGGAACTTGGTATGATAATCCAATTTTTCCACGCAGATGATTTCGCGGGCACTCACTAGTATTAGATATTACAAGCGGTCTCGTGTTGAATTTCTTCAAATATTCCTGAGGATTCGTAATTTATTTCATTTCTTAACTAAAACCTTTAGATAACTAAAAGTACAAAAAAGTGCTCGGCTACAAAACTAGCTACCTGCTTAACGGGAAGTTTTCGTACAATAAAAAAGTATTCATGAGCAATTAATATCGCTTAATACTTAAAATTAAAGGGTTAGGTTCGCTTTTTCCCAAAATCTCAGGACAAATCCTGGGACATGGTAAACCAACACGTACGTAATATGTACTAGAATTATCACGTAACTATATTATATTATAACTAGCGGACCCGACAGACGTTGTCCTGTCTAGTATGGTAGCGCCGTCTGTCGGATCCAATGTAAAACATTCCAAAATCAACAACTACTAATAAATTAAAAATTAATTAAAAAAACATTGTCCAGCGGACACAATTGTGAATCTAAACCATTCTCAGATCCCCTTGAACACACACAAAAAATTTCATCAAAATCGGTCCAGTCGTTTAAGAGAAGTTCAGTGACATACACACTCACAGAAGAATTATATATATAAAGATGATCTATGGTTACATAGCAACGATATTAATGTTGTTACATAGTGATGGATGGCAGAAGCAAAGCAGGAACATCAAACGATTACGTGGTACGTACTTATACCTATAAAAATAGATAAATGGCTTTCTTCTATGTTTTTCTTCTATGATTATTATATCTTCTTTAATATTAAAACTCATTTTCCGATGTCAAAGTTTTGACCTATTTGTATCAAATAAAATAAGTTTCAACGGTATAGATGCACTGTACCTCGAACCATTGTCGAATTCGATTACACCGTAATTTAGTCAACATTGTAAGGACTCCGTGTATGAAAGCAATATATTGGTTAATGCAGTAAGTGGTTCTGTACCCTTAGCACGAACCATTATTGAATTCGAATAGTTTGCAAACCGAAATGTCAATGTCAAATTTTGTATGGAAACTTGAACAGCAGCGGCACAAGTACGTACCTAACGAGAACTAAAAATCAGTACACATTTGACAATGACATTTCGGACTCGCAAACGATACGAATTCGATATTGGTTCGTGCTAGTGGTACAGATTTGTTTATTGACGTTTCGCATCCTTTTCAGGATGCGTTATTTACTTTGTCGAGCTACCTTCGAAAGACTTTTATTGAGCGCTCGGATATTTCATGGAAGACTTTTAAAACTTTATTGTCTATGCTTGAATTTATTAGCAGATTTATTAATAATTAAGGATTTGATTTAATTCTTTTTTTATAATGTTGAGTTTATTTATACGATCTACTTGTATCTTGTATCAGTTGTATTCTCTTATCAGGGTTTAGTGTATCTGCTATGTTGTGATTTCCACAGGGCACCGCACTATGAGTAAATAGATTGGAGAGTTGTTTCACCAACCTTGGTATTCATAAAAAAAGAACAGCGACAGTTTGCATTCTAAGTGCCGTATCAATGACAAATCTAAGCAAATATTACATTGTACCAAATAACGGCAGAATCAAAAACAAGACTTTAGTATAAAAAAAAATCGATGGGTTGCGCTCCGGGAGTGCTGGCAGAAGTGAGAACTTGAATATTAACTTTGTGCATTTTTGATATTTTGGAATGGTTGGGAATAATTTTGCACGAATTTCTTTAATTATTAGTATAAAAGTACTATCATTTATGTGGTAGAATACAATATTTATTTATTGCGCTATCGTACACAAACATGACAATTTATATTACATTAAAAAGTTCATCTCTCAGAATTTCTCATTTAAGCGCACCTAGCGACATCTATTGTAAAAAAAATGCATTTTATTCGTAATAAAGCTGCCACCTGGACGTCCTAGATACAGACTTATTATTATAATACGACAAAATTAAATATTACTATGATTCGTCTAATATATTGAAAGTCAACCACCTTTCCAATTTTATTGTTTTCGTCTTAAGAATTTTCGATTGTCAGATATCCGGATGCGATCAGCCCACGTGTCATGACGCGAATTTAACATTTTTTACCCATACAAAAAAAGTGTACAACGTCGCTAAAGAAGTTTTCACTTTAAAAAACAAAATTGCTACATTTAATAACCATTTCGTCATCATCATCTCAACCGTAGGACGCCCACTGCTGAGCATAGCCCTCCCCCAAGGATCTCCACATCGATCGGTCCTGTGCCACGCTTATCCATCGGCTTCCCGCGATCTTCACCAGATCGTTGGTCCACCTGGTGGGTCTTCCCACCGAGCGTCGTCCGGTGCGTGGTCACCATTCGAGAAGCTTTCCACTGTAACGGCCATCGGTTCTCCTCGCTATGTTATTTAACGTTGAAATTTTTTAATTAAAAATTAGTTTTAACAGTTAAAACATACCTAATCTTAGTACTTGCATACCTCTCAAACTCATAATAAATAGAAATATGTTAGTAATGGTGTCGATTCTGGCACAAAACTTGTAGGTGAAAGTAACTAGCCATTTTTTTGAATTTTTATTTTATACTTGTCATTATTTTATTATTACTTATTATTATTGTTCCCCTTGTCGTGTGTCGTGTTGTTTCGTTTTATGTTGTATGCCTGTTATTATATTATTCAGTGAAAAGCATTTTATTTATATTTAATTACACGCCTCACCTGGTACCGTTCATAACAGTGCTCTTAACTTAAACCTAAATTTTAACATCAGTTTCTCCTTTTCATTCTGTAGACAGAACGACAATACACTTTTGTCAAATATAATTAAAGAGTAAAACATCTAGCCCTTAAATGCTTAAAAAATAAAAAAAAAACATAACTATATTTGCTATTTCTTCTTTCAAATGTTTAATACCTGTAAAGGTTTTCATTTGACATTGTGTGTTACCTACAATGCGAAGAGATGGCGCTGCCGTGCAGCCTAAGGCTAGAGAAATTTCGACGCGGCTGTCAGGGCCGCGGTAGCATAATGGTCAGTGCATTCGCCCGGATAGCGAAGGGT